GGAGCCCAATTCCCCCCCTCAGTGCCCACTGACTCACTCTCCTGGAACTGAGCTTCATCCTCCTCCTGCTCCTCCTCCTCACTGCCCACATCCTCCAGCAGCATCTCCCTCTGCTTGGAGGCTGCTTTGGCTCACACATTCCTCCACATTCATTGAACTCTTCAATTATTTAATTTCTCAGGTTATATCCTAAAATCTGGCGTTGAACTTTAAAAACTTTTGATTGCAATAATTCCAAAGCCCTTTGGAAGCACTGGGTTATCTCCCACCAACCAAGCTTGGATCAACAATAAATGGCACAAATTCATGACAAATTCCAACTTTTAAATCACAGAAAATTACCACAGCCACATTAATATAATTTAAGTATTTGATGATTTAAATCTGACCCATTTTACCCATTTGTGAAGATAAATTTTGTGATACTGCAATAATTCCAAAGCACTGTTGAAGCACTGGGTTATCTCCCACTAACTAAACTCGGAGGAACAATAAATCAAATTCATGACAGATTCCAACTCTCAAGTTGCCACAGCCACATTAATATAATTTAAATATTTGGTGACTTAAATCTTACCCATTTTAGCCATTTGTGAAGATAAATTTTGTGGGACACAAATTAATAAAAAAAAAATAAATTTTGTGAGACTGCCATAATTCCACAGCACTTTTGAAGCACTGGGTTATCTCCCACCAACCAAGCTTGGAGAGACAATAAAGGGTGGAAATTCATGACAAATTCCAACTTTCAAATCACATAAAATTACCACAGCCACTTTAATATAATTTAAGTATTTGATGACTTAAATCTGACCCATTTTACCCATTTGTGAAGATAAATTTTGTGAGACTGCAAAAATTCCACAGCACTGGGTTATCTCCCACCAACCAAGCTTGGAGGGACAATAAACCAAATTCATGACAGATTCCAACTCTCAAATCACAGAAAATTGCCACAGCCACATTAATATAAATTAAGTATCTGATGATTTAAATCTGACCCATTTTACCCATTTGTGAAGATAAATTTTGTGAGATTGCAAAAATTCCAAAGCACTTTTGAAGTACTGGGTTATTTTCCACTGTACATCACCCAGCTTGGAGGACAATAAATGGTGCAAATTCATGACAGATTCCAACTCTCAAATCACATAAATTTACCACAGCCACATTAATATAATTTAAATATTTGATGATTTAAATCTTACCCATTTTACCCATTTGTGAAGATAAATTTTGCTGCAAATTTGGAGCACACCAATAAAAATGAGGAGCCCAATTCCCCCCCTCAGTGCCCACTGACTCACTCTCCTGGAACTGAGCTTCATCCTCCTCCTGCTCCTCCTCCTCACTGCCCACATCCTCNAAAATTATCTGCAAGGAAAAAGCACCAAGGTGAATTTTCTTGTCTTACACATTCTTACAGATTGAGTGAACTTTTTAGTTATTTAAATTTTCAGTTTATATCCTAAAATCTGGTGTTGAACTTTAAAAACTTTGGATTGCAAAAATTCCAAGGCACTTTTGAAGCACTGGATTATTTTCCACTGTACATCACCAAGCTTGTGGGACAATAAATGCAAATTCATGAGGGGTTCCAACTTTCAAATCACATAAAATTGCCACAGCCACATTAATATAATTTAAATATTTGATGACTTGAATCTGACCCATTTTACCCATTTGTGAAGATAAATTTTGTGGGACACAAATTAATAAAAAAAAAAATTTTGTGAGACTGCAATAATTCCAAATCACTGTTGAAGCACTGGGTTATCTCCCACCAACCAAACTTGGAGGGACAATAAATCAAATTCATGAGGGGTTCCCAACTCTCAAATCACAGAAAATTACCACAGCCACATTAATATAATTTAAGTATTTGATGACTTAAATCTCATTCTGGATAAAAAGCAAGGATGGGATTAACAGATTTACCCATTTTTGAAGATAAATTTTGTGGGACACAAATTTTGTGAGACTGCCATAATTCCAAATCACTTTTGAAGCACTGGGTTATCTCCCACCAACCAAGCACTGTGGAAGTGCTTGGAATTTGGAATAAATGGCACAAATTCATGACAGATTCCAACTTTCAAATCACAGAAAATTGCCACAGCCACATTAATATAATTTAAATATTTGATGATTTAAATCTTACCTATTTTAGCCATTTGTGAAGATAAATTTTTTGGGAGACAAATTTTGTGACACTGCAAAAAATCCACAACCAAGCTTGTGGGACAATAAATGCAAATTCATGACAGATTCCAACTTTCACATCACATAAAATTGCCACAGCCACATTAATATAATTTAAGTATTTGATGACTTAAAGCTTTCCAATTTTACCCATTTGTGAAGATAAATTTTGTGAGACTGAAAAAATTCCACAGCCCTTTTGAAGCACTGGATTATTTTCCACTGTACATCACCAAGCTTGTGGGACAATAAATGGTGCAAATCCATGAGGGGTTCCAACTTTCAAATCACAGAAAGTTACCACAGCCACTTAAATTAATATAATTTAAGTATTTGATGACTTGAATCTTACCCATTTTACCCATTTGTGAAGATAAATTTTGTGAGAGTGCCAAAATTCCAAATCACTGTTGAAGCACTGGGTTATCTCCCACTAACCAAGCTTGCAGGGACAATAAATGGTGCAAATCCATGACAGATTCCAACTTTCAAGTTGCCACAGCCACATTAATATAATTTAAATATTTGATGACTTAAATCTGACCCATTTTAGCCATTTGTGAAGATAAATTTTGTGGGACACAAATTAATTAAAAAAAAAAAAAATTTTGTGAGACTGCAATAATTCCACAGCACTTTTGAAGCACTGGGTTATCTCCCACCAACCAAGCTTGGATCAACAATAAATGGCACAAATTCATGAGGGGTTCCAACTTTCAAATCACACAAAATTACCACAGCCACATTAATATAATTTAAGTACTTGATGATTTAAATCTGACCCATTTTACCCATTTGTGAAGATAAATTTTGTGAGAGTGCCAAAATTCCAAATCACTGTTGAAGCACTGGGTTATCTCCCACCAACCAAGCTTGCAAGAACAATAAATCAAATTCATGACAGATTCCAACTCTCAAATCACACAAAATTGCCACAGCCACATTAATATAATTTAAATATTTGATGACTTAAATCTGACCCATTTTACCCATTTGTGAAGATAAATTTTGTGAGACTGCAAAAATTCCAAATCCCTGTTGAAGCACTGGGTTATCTCCCACCAACCAAGCACTGTGGAAGTGCTTGGAATTTGGAATAAATGGTGCAAATTCATGACAGATTCCAAATTTGAAATCACAGAAAATTACTACAGCCACATTAATATAATTTAAATATTTGATGACTTGGATCTTACCAATTTTAGGCATTTGTGAAGATAAATTTTGTGAGACTGCCATAACCCAAGTGCTTCAAAAGTGATTTGGAATTATCTCCCACCAACCCAGCTTGGAGGACAATAAATCAAATTCATGACAGATTCCAACTCTCAAATCACAGAAAGTTACCACAGCCACATTAATATATTTTAAATATTTGATGACTTAAATCTTACCAATTTTACCCATTTGTGAAGATAAATTTTGTGGGACACAAATTTTGTGGGACTGAAATAATTCCAAATCACTTTTGAAGCACTGGGTTATCTCCCACCAACCAAGCTTGGAGAGACAATAAATGGTGCAAATCCATGAAGGGTTCCAACTCTCAAATCACATAAAATTATCACAGCCACATTAATATAATTTAAGTATTTGATGACTTAAATCTGACCCATTTTAGCCATTTGTGAAGATAAATTTTGTGGGACACCAATTTTGTGAGACTGCAAAAATTCCACAGCACTGGTTTATCTCCCACCAACCAAGTTTGTAGGACAATAAATGCAAATCCATGAGGGGTTCCAACTTTCACATCACATAAAATTACCACAGCCACATTAATATAATTTAAGCATTTGATGACTTAAATCTGACCCATTTTAGCCATTTGTGAAGATAAATTTTGTGGGTTTTGCACAAATTTTGCTGCAAATTTGGAGCCCAATTCCCCCCCTCAGTGCCCACTGACTCACTCTCCTGGAACTGAGCTTCATCCTCCTCCTGCTCCTCCTCCTCACTGCCCACATCCTC